AAATTTCTTTACTTCAAATATAATATTTATAAACAACCAAATACAAAAATCTAGTTTATCAAAGTATTTACTATTAACACATAGAGATTAAAATTGCAAGTGTAGCTGCATATTCCAGAAAAACGAAAATTTCACAGCAGATTAACAAAATTATTTTTTTTCTAAATCGATTTTCTTTTGTAAATATAAATAAATTTCTGTTTCAAAATTTAAAACAAAATGTATAATGATTCGTAAATTTGCTAGCTATATAACTCATTTTAAATATATGCAAGCAAATGTCATTTTTGATATTGCTTTAAAAGGAAACCTTAACATAACATAACCAATCAGTTTTTTAATAATTTTACGCTTAAAATTAATGTTCTTAAGGCGAAGACTACGAGATAATTACATGTGTATTTGAGATGCATCTGTTATGAATATATGTTTGTCAAAACGTTAGTGAATGAATATAAATTTAGGTTGATTTTTTAAAGCATATATTTTTTTAATGGTAAGAAAATGGTGTCCAATTTTTTTCGAAAAGCAATTGTAAAGCAAATGCTTTGTTAAAAATTCTAATAAATTTTGTTGCAGCGCAAAATTTATGAATACGTTTTATTTAAATTCAATTCAAAATAAAGGCACACTTTTGATTATTAATAAATCCATTAAAACTCAGATTCTTAAGGAAGTCTTATAATATATTAATTGACAAAAGTCTAAAATTGTAAAATGCTATTTGGATTTAAAAATCTAACTATCTTCATCCACCAAACACAATGTTTCTAATTACAGAATATTTTTGAAAATTAAACAAAATATTAATTATATTAATTTTTGCCCTTCTTATAAGCAAAAGTACTTTTGCTGCATGATGAAAATTTCTATATTTATACAAAAAGAGCTGCGATAAGTAAATGTAAGTAACACGAAAAAGATATTTTGAGATATATTAAAGATTATATATAGAATCTGTGAGTTTCAAATTGGCAGAATTTATAAAAGGCGTGATATTTCCCATTAAAACCATAGAGGTAAAAAGGAAGCATTTAATTCCATGACTTTCTCATTGGCTTTACTTCTTAACTACATGATTAAAACAATTTTTTGACATAAATCCCTTAAATTCTCATATGTCAATGAAGCCTGTGGTTCCAACTTCTTTTCGGAGATGATAGAACCACACTACTTGCTTAGACTATTTCTTTCAGAATCTATGATAAGAGACCTGTTACGTTTCAGTAATTCAAGTTCGTGCAATACCAGTATTATAATGTTTGATTTAAATCACTAATAAAATGTTTAACATGCTAGATAGCCTTTAAATTATCATTTCAGGACAACTTATAATAAAATATGTATCCAGTTCTTTTATTACTTATGACTCAACTTGCTATCGTCCGTCTATAACAGGGTTGGCCAAACTTCATGTCAGTAAGAGCCGCACGTTTAAATTCAGGAATGTTCGATAGCCGCATCTAGATTTTCTAAAAGCCACAAGTTCATATTTACATCGTTATAGAAGAAGTGGAGGAGGTTTTAAAATAGAAAGAATTTCCTGAACTTTGCAAAAAGTGTCTAAACTAATTAATTACTTATTTTTGGACACTGAATAGTTTTAGTTTACCATATTTCATACAGATATTTTATATGCACGAGCCGCACAAATTGCCTGCGAGAGCCATATCAGGATTACGAGCCGCAGTTTGGCCACCCCTGGTCTATAATTTTCCTCGATAAACGAAACAGGTTTCCCTCTAACCAGCAAGGCCGTATATATACATACGGCCTAGAATATTTTGTGTGATATCTGGAACATCGTATATATACGCGCATATTAAAATATGTCAAAGAAAGCAAGGCAAGATAAAATTACACTAATCCAGGTATAAAATATCAGGAAAAATTTTACACTAAAATCAAGAAAACAATTTTTTCTCATAGTAGATTTGGGAAATGTGTGCTTTCTTAGTGAAAACCCTTGCCGGTCGGAGTGTTAAATGAGAAATCATAAGAATAGGTTGCTAGTAAAACGTTTGATTTTTAAATTTGTCATCTAACTGGCCTCACAAATAGCTAGTTTCTAGAGTATTACCATTAAGCGTGGTTAAGATCTCTCTTTAAACTTCATATAACTACGATTTTGTTGTACCGATTTAACCTTAGCTGCATCTGAAATTTAATTCCACGATTTTAAACTTATTGTAATTTCTCCTTAGTTGCAATAATTAAATAACCTAAGCAATTTGAAAGCTTTAAATTTCATAATAATGAGTAGCTTTACTACATTTTTCATGAATGTTTAATTGATATGTATATATATATATATAATTGTCATAATATAAGCAAAGCGTAGTTATGCAAGATGGAGGCACGCGAAGAGAAAAGTTTTGGTTTACAAGGACAATTTCAGTTCCCAATGATTACGTCATCAGAGCTGCGCCGATCATAGAGTGATCTAGAAATGACGCAATGCAAAGAAGTTATTACGATTTTAGAATAGAGGGGAAGAATTAATTTTTATAGTTTAATCTATAATTTTGATTCATATATTTTTATCTTACATATATATATACATATATAGTATAATTGATATTTTATCATATAAATATCATTTATTACTTACCACGATGTGCAGAGTAAACACCTAAAACATTTTTCAAAAAGAGTATACTAATGATAAAATAATTAATTACACATTTTGAAAAATGCTGCGAAATAGTATCGATTATCTTCATTCCAAGGTTTCTTAACAGCATTCGCCTTGATTTTTGTTGTATTATAAAACAGATTTAAAATATTTTCCCACATATTATTATAAAGTGCATTCGCAGTTGCGAAGCAATTAGACAAATCCCATTCTTAGAGAAACCATTACGTAACTTGGAAACAGATTGCATAGGATGATTAAACTGAACTACTTTAATTCAAGGTAAATGAGAAATTGTGTATTCTCATAGGATGAGACAGAAGATTAAGCCTAAATTTAATTTCTGCTTAGTAGTAGTAAGAATAAAATTCTTTATGCTGCAAGATTGTTCTTTCATTAAGTCTGTGACATTTGTGCTAATTAAACATTTCATTTTTTAATAGAATTTAAATTAAATTCATTTTTGAGTAAAACTGTTTTCTCGGTAAAATACGTAATGTCTGTAAGGATTTTATACAGCAGTAATGATATTTTGTAAATTTCAGTTAAATAACAGTTAATGAAACATCAATGTTAAAAGATGGGTGAGTCACCATCTATACTAATCTTTATTCATAAATTCGAAATTTAAAATTTTTTGCTTAAAGAAAACGTTATTTTATTAAATAATAACTTTAATGAGGCAATAAAAATTACAGCCTTGTATTTTTTTCCATACGTATGTTTAGGCTTTGTTCTTTATAGTACTTACGGTAAAGTATTTAATTGCGTATCTTTATTCGTAACGTAATTTTAGGATATTTACTGATCATACTACAGACATATCAAAAAGGGCCTAACTCATTATATATATATATATAAATCTGATGTGTGTACACCACATGACTTCCCTGTACGGAATATTAAATTATACGCACTTTTTCTTGCATTTCAATTAAACTTATCGGATTCAATTAAATCTACTTCGTCGATAGCGCATAAACCACAATAGAATAAATGCACTCTTTAAAATACATTATATTTGTTTACCATAGCGACACTCTGCCGCTAGGTTCACTTAAGTTACATTTCGTCCATATGATAACTCAGATTGCATATAAATTTATATCTTATGAAGAATTATCTAATCGTTGCCACATGTTCTATTCAACTACTATAATAAATCTGAAACGATGTATAAAAGAAGTTAAGAAAACAAAACAAAAAAGAAACAGTTTTTCACAGACGATTCAGTATTTCTCATTCAATTAATTCAGTTCTCACTTCTCGACAACGCAAAAATACATTAAAACTTAAAATATCTATATTAAAAATTACGAAGTAAATCTGAAACACTTATTTCCTCGAATAAATTCCAGAACGGATTAAGCATGATTTAATTCGCAATAATAAAAGAAGGCGTTATCTTTAGTGTTGCGAAGCTTAGTTTCTCTAGATTGGCAACAAATCCGCTATTCTGCCAAGTTTAAAATGTAAACAAACATGTCCGCCATCGCAAAATTCATTAGGCTTAGCTGCACTTAAACAACATTTAAATTGTTGATAACTCCACAAATATTGCATGCAGATTTACTAAAGGAATAAAACCTTAACCGGATGATAAGAACAACATAACTCAATCATTTTTAAAGCAAAAATGCACCACTTACAAACATATAAGAATAAAGAAACTGAGATCACTGAGCCGGGTAACAGAGTGGATATATATATATATACATACACATATATTTATATACGTTTGGTTTAGCCAATTGCAACCAAAATACGAAGTGCACATCTACATGCTATAGCAAGCCTATATAAAAAATTTCAATATTCTGAGGCTACTCGTTTTTGAGTAATTCGAAATATGTACACGAAAATTTCTCTTCAGAATTCATTTCAAAGCAGTTTTATAATTTTTTTGGAGGAAAAGAGTCATTTATTCTGTCCTTACGTACAGGTGTCACGGAAAAACATCATTAAATTGCATTCGATAGCGATCAAAATGGATATTTCTGTAGAAATATGCTGCCTGAAACCTTTCGCGATTACCATACTACCTTTTTGCTTCGTACAAGGAAGTTAAAAAAATCAATATATGACATTTTAAGTTTATTGGATTCAAACTGGATTCATAATAAATTGGATTTTTCTTTATTCATCATCATTATATTCCATATTTATTTCTAATATATATAACACGTGATGCCATGTCTAGTTGTTTTTATTGAATATATTGTTTTTTTTTAAATTTTTAATACTAAATTTTAAATTTTGAAATATGTGTCAAGTTTAATTGTTGAGTAATCGTGCTTTAGGATTATCAGACATTTTTTTTTAATTCTACACGTGACAAAATCGAAGCAATCATAAATGCACTTACCTGAACTAATTGGAAGAACTGGGAGGACTTGGCGATAGGGTCAGTCACTGCGGTACAGGCAGCGCCGAAGAGAATTACTTTGTGTGGTTTCTGATGAAGCATGTCGAAGAACGCCTTCATTCCCACCGCAGCATCACACTGGAAATGAAACAAGGATATTCAGAGTTCGGAAGATACCTCAGGTTTAAAAATGGTAGTGTAATCAAAAACGTGAATTATTAAAAAAATTGGATATTCTGAGCAAATCGCGTGTAGCAGATTTACTTCTTTCGCTTTCATAGCAGCAATGTATATTTTCTTAAAATTGATTTTCTTGTTTGAAACTTAGCATTTGTCACCCATAATATTAGCTCATAAACTATTGATTGAAATTCTAGTCACGACATTATGTTGTGACTGGTCAATAATTATTTTAGTCACAGTATTCAACCTTTTAAATTGCTTTTAATTTTTGCGAGCGAAAATACGATCATAAATGAATCCAAAGCACACATCGTGGACTGTGTCAAAAATATTCAACCTGTGAAGGTATGAAACATAGGAAACCTCCCCATGAAAACTGCAGTCGCGCTTTTCAGGTTCAACTTTACCAACGCTATTCACCGATATAGGCGAATCAAATGGAAACTTTAATTATTTATTACTAGCGGAAGTACCCGATGCCAGTTAAGTTAGATTGAGAATAATGAATCTAAGAACAGAGAGAAGGATACCGCTGTAATCCTTCTCTAATAACGATGCAAAAAATACGATTCATAGTCAGACATTTTGCAGTCTGATGCGATATGGAACCCACAAAAAAATATCGATAGAAATATAGACTAATTTTTTTCTCTCATTATATCAGCAACAATGGCACGCAGTTTTTAATGATTTTCGTCTTTCTAATCAAATCGTCGTAAAAGCTCCAGTTCCATCCAATATTTCACCTTTATTCAATTTTAGTCGATTAAATGTGGCACCAAATTGATCAGAAATCAATAACGCGAACAGCGAACAAAAATTTTCTTTATACGTTATAGACTTTGTAAAACTTATAAATTTTTGATTAACAAACTGCACGATTTGAAAGCGAGCAGTAGCAACACTTTTTGAAATAAAAAGCTTTTCAATTTCTAACGCGACTGTTACGACTCGAAAACATGAGTGTGAAAATTAGCGCTTTCAGAGTTTTCAAATAATATTTCGGCTTATTAAACTCGTACGAAGATGGATAGTCAAAAATGGCTTTCCACGAACTTTGGAATTGGGAATAATGTATTTAATTTTCGGCAATGCTATTTTTATTTCATCGTAAAAACTTAGGAATTTTTATTAATAAACTCTAGGATTTGAAAGCGAGCAGTGGCAACAACTTCTGAAGTAAAGTAGATTTCCATCTCCAGCTTGTGAGACTGTTGCCACTAGGAAAAATGAGGGCGAAAAATATGGTTTTTCTGAGTTTTAATTAATATCTCCGATTTCAGCTACTTTGCTTTCGAAGAAGTGGACGTCGACCTTTTTCAGGACCCAGGAAAGAATCGTAGAAAGTTTGGCGACGACAGCTATAGTAGTGACTGAGTTATTAGAGGACAGATACTCAGACTTGATATATATAGATGAGGGAAATAAAGGAGTATAGAAAAGTTATAAATGCATCATTTTTGACGTACTCCTATGACATGTAGTGCATATATTTTAACGTTTCAAAAATGAGAACATGTTAGTAAAAATCTCATCTATAGCTACTCGTATACAGTAGTTTCCATCTTTTCATGCTCGCCTTCTCTGGTATCTTTTAGCTTTGTCCTGACATGCCGTTTATTGGAGGCGATATCTGGTGAAGAATGTGGATGTGACATGTAGCGTTTAGATTTCATACCCTTAATTGCAGCAACATTAAAGTGTATGCGGTATAGCAGTAATATACGGTCGAATACTGTCATGTATTTGCAATACACCTGAAGTAAAATATTTAAATTTCTTCTTGATAGCAAGGCAAAGGTGATTTTATACCAGATATTCATAACAAGTACTGATCACGGCTATTCTCTTTCCCTGTGACATTCCAAAATTGCCCCCTTTACATCGTCAAAGAGAACAATCATGGCATTACGCGCTCGTGGTATCATGTTCTCCAAGGACGATAATCCCGCTTTTCCCGTCACTTGTACACTTACTGCAGGGACACATACGAATTACCATACTGCGCTTTAATACGGAGATGAGTTTAAGTTCGTTTAACACCTTCGCTGCTCAAAATACGCACCTCAGATTGTTGTCCTGGCACTGATAATGGGGAACCATCTTTTTAATGTTGCTTCCTTCCTCAAAGATATAACGTCATATTGCGACCTGTTAGTCATTTTTTGAGCTGGAAGGATAACGTCTGTCAAATTACAAGTCAATCATACAACACTTTTTAAAATTTAAGGGTTTTCATTTGAATTTCAGTATGGGTAATGTAGTTAGAAGAGACTGAATTTTATATTTTAACACATCTGAAAAAAATCTGTCAGGAGAAAAATTTTATAATTCTTTTGAGAACGTATTTCAGTTTCAGGCAACGTACTTACTCTGATGTATACTTTTATGAAAAAAAAATCAGATTTGCTTTATATTCGGCGATATATTTATGTGTACTTGTGACAAATGTCATCGATTTGTGATAAACACGCAATACATTGCCGTTCATATGTGCCGACGCGAAGGGAACCATCTGGTGTTGACTCACGTCCATCTGCGTCGCGATAAAATCCCAGACCATCAGTTATGGGGAGAATTTTCAGAGTTTCAGTAAGAAAAGAAAGAAACAAAGCATACTCTGTATACGAATAACAATTTTAAACCATGTGTTTGATCAATAATGCTTGTAGAACAATTAAAAGAACTGCGGTCTTAACAGTAATTATGTAATTATCAGTGTATCTAATAACCTTTAATGATGCAGATAATATCCATGTGAATATACGTTTATGCACACTAATAAATGCATGTATTTGAACTAAGAGTCAGCAAGCTGTGATTTAAACTTCTGTACAATGGATTAAGAAAACTTGATTGATTTTTCTTCTGTATCACAAGTCAATGATGTTCTGAGATTGATTGTACGTGAATTTTAATTTGCTTTTTAGTGTAAATTCGGTGAACGAATGTTTCTTTTTAATTACTAAGAAATTATAGATTCAATGTTAAAGGATCTATTACTTCTGAAATTAAGTTTGAGATATCTGCTGTTGCTTTTAAGATGGATTTTTGTAGTATTTTCGGTATTTTTTGAACTTCTAATCGTTGTTTTAATCAATATCATTCTAGAACTGCAGACGAAGAATAAGATTTCGCTTTCCATTCAGTTGCTTATGCGGAAAAGCGAACTCTAAAGACATTATGATAAGTAAGAAGCGATATTATGAAATCTTATGAATCTTAAAATAAATATAACTGGCTACGACTACTTAAACAGCAATCCTAAAGTAAATATTAATGTAACTAGAAATCTTAATGTAATTCTACCAGGTTAATTACGAACGTTTTTTCGTTACCGGAATTTAGCATCTCCTTTGAGACTATGCCGCTAAATTAGATCTTTCCTTTAGGCTCCATTTTGATTGTATTGTCAAACTTACTTCCACGTTTTAGGAAGTTTTATAGTATTTCATTATATTTGTATTACTGCGTAATTTTGTTAATAACGATTTTTCTTTCCTTCACTTTTATTAACAAAAAGCTTACTATTATCTAAGCCGCCATGATAAGCCCATGGTGTGAACATTTATACATTTACATTTATACTTACATTTATACTTACATTTATACATTACATTTATATTTTATACATTTCTAACATTTATTTGTTTTCTTTAACTTATTCCTTTTATAAAAATGAAAAAAAAATTCTTACTAGTATTTAATTAACCGTTTAGAAGATTTCTAACTTGCCATCGCCAATTTGTTTCGTCAACGAAGCCAAAATGGCACTTCTACGTGTCCTTTTTAAATCTAGCGTTTCTGGTCTTTGTTTCGAAATTACTAGTTTATTACAATGTACTCTGTTAATTTCTATAATAACTTGTATTTCTACATTTTTGTTTCAATCTTTTATTTGAATTTTAATTACATTACATTCTGCGAAAAAATGTACTTAATTATTTTTTTTCAGTTATTTTATTAGTATATTTTGTATTAATTTCATTTTTAAATTCAGTAAAATTACTGCTCCGGAAAGAAGTTCAAAATTTTCGGGTCAATTGTTATAATTAAAGAATTTAGAATGGTTCAAAAGCTGATTTTGAATAACAGAAACTCAGTGGTTTTAAAAGGGGAGAGGGGTTCAATTGAGCCTTATGTACACTGCTCAAAAAAAAAAAAAAAAAATGGGACAGTCCTATATCTCCCGATCAACTGAGCCGATTGACAAAATTCAAATTGCGTTCTTCATGTCTCGAAAGCGCGACTTAGGATATATATTATATTTATATCTAGCACTATTCTAACATAGGTATTTTGACACAAAATCGGACTTTTTCTGAAATAACATACCAATTTTTTTACATATTTCGATTCTACGACTCAAATTACGCCTAAATATGAAATTTTGTAAAATTTTGAGCGAAATTTACGGAGAAATTCACAAATTTATGTTGGCACTTTTTTGTCAGTTTGCGCCAAGAATACTTCACTTGGCTAACTTCTTAATATATGGCAACCCAGTTTCCTTAGGAAAAAAGTCACCATCGTTCCTTTTTTCCAAATAATATTCTTTATATTATATTTTTAATTATAACTTATTTTTTTAAGTAATTTTTTTCTTTTTCGAATTTCATTTAATTGTTTAAGTTGCACTTTTTTTTTTCGAATAACTGTTTTTTAAAAATTTCTATTTACCTATTCGAACTGCGTAAATAAAGGTGCAGCGTTTATTTATTTATTTTTTTTTCAAATAGTTTTCTTTATATATATTTTTTCGTCATAGCTATTATTTTAGGTAATTTTTAAATTTTTATACTTTTATTTTAATTGTTTGTGTTGCATTGTCTCTTCAGATAATTGTTTTAAAATTTTCTATTTATTCCTTCGAACTGAGCATTTTAAATATATTTATTAATATCAATTTTCCAGAATTTGATTTTATTTATTTGAATTGCGTTTTTTTCGGAAGA